CTATGGATGTGATTGCAAGAGTCCATATGTCCCTCCAATTTCTCATGACCTATAAATTTTCTCAATATCCAATTAAGTCTTGTTATTAGGTTTAGGATAAAAAACTCAAAGCCGATAGGACCTTATTGACATAGTTACAATCAAGTCTTACTTGCTTCATGTATGTGGATTAGTTTTTGCTCTTTAGCGAGATCTTGGAGAGTCCAATTCACTTTAACTATTGCACGGAATTGGTGACTATTCATAAATATATTGGCTTTGAGCATAAATGACACTCAAACCAATATGGTTATATTAACAACTATGTAAATGAAACTATAAGAGCATTGCATTTTAAAAAGATATTTCAAAAACAATTTAAAATTTTTAATGTGAGACTTTACATAAGATATCCAATCATATAAAAAATCTTTGATTAAGGGCAAACACAGGTAGAGTCCAGGAGGACAAATGCCCCTGTCCCCTCAAATTCAGATTTTTTACTTATATCGGAGGACAATTTGATCTTTTATCCCTCATAAATATCAGTGTTGCCTCACTTTAAATATCATTTTGCTCTTCGTTGTCCTATTCTCTCCCACGTTAGGTCTAGGGAAACAGTTGCCCTAAAAAAAGAGACAGATTTCAACCCTGCCTTGTATCATATTTATTATGATAAATTGCATATGTATGTCCGTCTAACAAATACATAGAACCATTTAATAGATATTTAATTGTTATTATGCCCTTAGGAAATCAATGGTCAACCCCCCCATCTGCCAACATTGATTTTAACTAATTAGCAATCATACATATGATATTTTATTGCCCATATGATAATGCCTTCATAAAAATTACCTATAAACAAATAATCATGGGTATGAATATTTATATTTACTTCATTCAATTTTGAATAGTTTAGAATCTAACAAATAATTAATAAATACTAAAGATTATCTCTTAGTGAAGTAGTGTTCTTCAAGATAAAATTTAGGAGAATTGGGGTAATTTCAAATATCATGAGGTGAGTAAAGTCAAAATATTCATGAAGTTTTTTACTTATCACTAAAAAATTTGGGTCCCTTGAAGAAACACTAAAATCACACTGCATAAGAAAAAGGGTCATCATAAATATAATAGGAGAAGTAATATAATGAAAAGTATAACAGTTGGAATATTAAATTTATCAATTATATGTATGTTAAATTTGAATCTATCCAGGAGTCACACTTAAGAATAAGTGTAAGACAGGGGAGAGAGAGATAGAGAGAGAGAGAGAGTAGCGTGCACAATACTAATTAGTAAAATGAAATTTCAATTGGTCTTTTACTGAAGAAATGATTCTCTTATTTATAGGAAAAGATCTGTTCCTGCTTTAACTGAGGTGTTATAAAGTATTTTAGGTGCTTACATAAATGAATTTATGATTGATTAGCCTGTTACTTAGTCGGCTAAGGTCCACAGTTCTTGTTTTGATAAGGTTTGTTCATCTGATTATGCTGAGTTGGGGCTGCCGATTGTTTCTGATGGTCTTCGGTCTGGCTGAATTTGAATAAGTCATCTTGATTCTACTGGTTGACTGCTCTAGCCTATCTTTTAACTATTGAACCCTATATGAGGCGGTGATTGTTATTAGGTAATTTATGAATAGGGATGAGGTTATGGGATAAGTTGGGGACATGAATAATTGGTGAGTTTATGAGCTTATTTGATGGTGTTGAGAATCCTCTTGCCGGTATGAGCTACAAGAAGTTGTTGTCCATTGCCATCATTTATATGTTGTAAGCTACTGTATGATTGTAGATTAAACATATTTTGAATGTCTAGACGGAGGTGCTGGGAATCTACTGAATCAAGGAACTAGTCACCAACGAAAGAGTCTACTAGTAGCACGAGACTAAATTTATGCTGGATGTTAGGTGCAATGCTAACATTTGGTTGCTGAAGGACCAAACTTACTATAGATTTGATAATATATTGTAGGTTTTTTTATTTCAAACTTGCTGATTGAGGAGTGTTTGAACAATTAGATATGTTTGGATTAAAAGATTTTGGTTTGTTGTTGTCGGTATGCTATTGGTGTGCTTTGGCTTTCTCATGAGAAGCAATGAAGGCTGAGTGCTGATTTGTAAGGGAGATGTAGGAACAGCAAGAATGCATTGGCTAGATTAACATCTTAGAAAAAATTATTACATTCGGACATTCGGATGTCCGGGCAAAGGGCCGAATGCAGCGGAGGAGGGGAGGAATTAGACCTCTGCCCTCTTCGCTGTAGCCGGGTCGTTGTTCGGACATCCGGAGTTCGAATATAATATTTTTTTTAACATCTTATGCGTAAGGAAGCGAATATAAGTCATATCAACTAAGGAGCTAAAGGTTTGTTCTAATTGTGGTTACAGTGAGGACGAGTGGCCAACAACAACGAAAGATAGGTGATGAGGTGACCATGGCCATGGCTTTGCTACGCAGGACAACTAAATCTTATAAATTTGAAATTTGGTCGAATTAGACTTTTGAGAGATTTTAATCAGAAACACATCAAGAATTTATTCTAAATTCTATTTTCTTAAATTCAAATACCAAAGTTTATAAAATCATTTCAAATGATTTCCGAAATTTTGGTCACATTTTTTCAGATTTGCCGCCGTTTATTTTCTTAAAAAAAAATAAAAGAAGAAAAACTTGTATTGAGTAGGGGTGTAAACGAACCGAACACGAACGAACATAACTTGTGTTCATGTTCGGTTCGTTTGAAATAAGCTCGTGTTCAAAATTGTTCGTGAAGTAACTGTTCGTGTTCGTTTCTTAACGAACGAGCCGAACACAAGTTGTTCGCGAACAACGAGCAAGTTTGACATCCCTAATATTAATATATATAAATAATATATTATATTAATTATATAACTTATATTATATAAATATATAATATCTATATTAGTATATTATCAATAAAGTATATTAATATATTATTATTATTAATTTATTATATATTATAACTTATATAATTTAATTTTTTAAAATATCATAAAGTTTTTTATATATAATTATTTTAAATTAATTTATATTTCAAACAATAATGATTCGAACACGAACGAATGCATCACTGTTCAGGTTTTGTTTGTTTAACTAACCGAATAAAAAAAAATTTGTTCACGTTCGTCTCGTTTACTTATCGAACGAATCGAACATGAACTCATTGACGAAATGAACACGAACTGTTCACGAACAACGAGTTTTTTTGCCGGCCCTAGTGTTGAGCTACTCGCCTACCACTTCCGCAACGTGCCCCGACAGGAAACAGCTAACGCAGACGGTTAAAATTAAAAGTAAGAAAAAAAACAGTTTATCATTAAGAATAATGTTCATTAAAAACGATAAGCTTCCGTCTATATTTAACCGCCAAGACGCTTAAAATCAACGCTATAATTGACGTATAAATTATCTAACTAATTTTTGCTTATTTTATAATCACATTTCAATTCTTTTTTTATATAATTAAATTTATTAAATATAAAAATACTTAGATATCAGTTTTATTAAACTATACATTAAAAATAAACCAGTTAAATCAAAATAAAATTTAATTCAAAATTTTGGTTCTCGAATTAATTTTCGATCAATTAATAATTTTCGAGCTAAATTTATTAAGTTCACAGATCTAATATTACTAATATCGTTAAAGATTTGATTTCGAGCTGAGCTGTAATTGTTTAAAAATCGACTCATAAAAAATTCGATAAAAATTCTAGTTCGGCCCTAAAATTACAATCAACTTTTGTGAGATTAATGACTTTCGAGCTAAATTCACAGCTTTAATTAAAAAAAAATGAGTTCTTAATTAAAATCAGGATTGAATTATAGAACCAAATCAATCAGCTCAATTTTTTTTTATTTAACCGAATCAACCTCTTTCTTAAGATCAAATAAATCCATGTGATGAAAAAAATAAATAATAATGCGAAAATTAACTATTTAAATTTGCTGTTGTATGACCCTCAAGACTACCTTGAGACCACTCATCGGGGAGGTTGCTATCATCTAAGTTGACTTTTTTTATCATGTTTCAAATAAATTTATTTATTATAATTTATCACTAATAATTTTTAATCTAATTATCTCCTTGAAAAATCATATTGTTTTCCCTCAATTATTGCATTTAAAAAAAGGGTATTTATATGAATACCACAGTTTTTTTTTATGTATTCATTAAATTTTTTTTTTTTTTGAGTCTCGATGTAAGCTACATCTGCAATTCATGAGCTATGGATCGCAACAGTTATCCGGACGTAATTAGGGGTGTAAACAAACCGAACACGAACGAACAAAACTTGTGTTTGTGTTCGGTTCATTTTAAATTTAGTTTGTTTGAAATATGCTCGTGTTCGAAATTGTTTGTGAAGTCACTGTTCGTGTTCGTTTCTTAATGAACAAGCCGAACACGAGTTGTTCGCTAACGACGAGGCAATTTGACATCTCTAATATTAATATATATATAAATAATATATTATATTAATTATATAACTTATATTATATAAATTTATAATATCTATATTAGTATATTACAGTATAGTATATTAATATATTATTATTATTAATTTATATATTAAAATTTATAAAATTTAATTTTTAAAAATATCATAAAGTTTTTATATACAATTATTTTAAATTATTTTATTTTTTGGAACAATAATAATTCGAACACGAATGAAAGCATCACTGTTCGTGTTTGGTTCGTTTAACTAACCGAACAAAAAAAAAAATTATTCATGTTCATTTCCTTTATTTATCGAACAAACCGAACACGTTTTTTTGACAGCCCTAGATGTAATTCTAAAAAATTCATTATTTTTACGCATGATATTTATAATTTTCGAATCACATTAAAATATCATTATTATTAAGTTTATAAAAAATAATAAATTTTATCTTTTTCATAAAATGATATAAATATAAAAATAAAAAATTAAATATTTGATATATATATATATAAATATTAGGATTATTATATGTGTTAAAAGAGGCGCAAGGATGGCTTGAATGCTTTTTCCATGTTGCACGCATCAATAGCAGAGGACGTAGCGGAAATAGAAAGAGCGTGAGAGAGAGAGAGAGAGAGAGAGAGAGAGAGCGGGAGGAGAGAGGGAGGAGAGAGGTGAACTCTGATTTCTCTCTCCTGTCATATCAAGTTTCCAGAGCACCGGGATAGAAGAACCAGAACCAGAACCAGAGCGGAAATGGGGACAACATCAAGCATGATAGGGGAAGAAAATCGCCCGACTTGAGCTTTCGAAGTTTGCATGCATACCAATCCATTCGTTAATCGCTCATTGCGGATTCAAGATCTCCTTTTCTCTTCGTTTCCTCGGTTCCATCTCCAGCTTCAGCTGCGAAAGTGAGTGATAAACAGGAAGAGATCTCCAGGGATCTAAGACTCTTTTGTATGCAGCGGCGTGTTCTTAGATGAGGGGAATGCCCTTCAGTCGTTCGGGGAAGGGAGCGCTGGAAGCAATAGCAGCTCAAATCCTTGGGGAGGAAGACAAAGGCGGCACCTTTTGGAGTCGCTCTAGTCATAGGAAGAAGAAAGGCGAGGTTTTGGAACCTAGATCAGTTTTGTATCACAGGAGGAGCCCAAGCCCTCCTACTTCCACATCCACACTGTCTTCCTCTCTTAGCGGCGGCGTCGGCGGTGGCGGAGGTTCAACGGACACCGGCGGAGTGGCGGCGGTCTCCGAAAACCCCTCCCAGAGGAAAGAAGAATGGGCGACGGAGCTACAAACCATCGCTGGATCACCGGAGATGAGCGGCTTCATCGGCTCCGGTGAGAAGTGCGGTATGGAGGCTGAGGACTGGGAGACGATGCTTTCTGCCCCAACTGCTTCCCCGAACCAGGAGCAAACTTTCCTTCGCTGGATCATGGGGGACATCAACGATCCTTCTGCTGTTTCGAAGCATCATCATTATCCGCAGATCTCCACTCAAGCATCCCCGGTGGAATTTGATGCCGGCATCGCCGGTTCGAGCTTCGGTCTCGTCGACCCTCTCTTCGGATTTGAACCCATCGGAGGAATCGCCGGCGTTACGTCTTCCTCCGGTGGGTTTTATCAAAGCAGTAGAAATAGTGATGGTAAAAATGCAGTTTTTATGAGCCCACCGCCGGGTATGGCCTTTTTCCAAGAACCCATTGAAGAGAAACCCCAGATTTTTGGGCATAACCTTGTCCTACAAACCAATACTCCTTCTAACCCGGACTTATTTGTTCCAAGCGCATCTTTTGGTGCAGTCACAGAACAACACCTGACCTCAAACCTCCTCCCTTCTCATCCCAAGCGTCACCACTCTATGCCCAATGACCCAGCTTGCCAAATCCCTGCAGTGTGCACCGGCAAGCTTCTACAAGCCCCATATCAACTCCAGCAACGTCTGATGAAGCCCAGAACTTCATTGGCTGGGGAAGATGCGGCGGCTGCTGCTGCCTTTGGTGGGGGAGGGGGCGGCGCCTGCCGCTGCCATGGCTTTACAGCAGCATCAGGCTCTTATTGACCAGCTCTTTAAGGCAGCTGAGTTCGTTGAAACAGGGAATTTTATCAGCGCGCATGGGATATTGGCGCGGCTCAATCACCAGCTCTCCTTCCCTCTTGGAAAGCCACTTCTCCGCTCCGCATTTTATTTCAAAGAGGCGCTGCATTTGCTTGTAGCCAATTCTTACAATCCACCTCTGACCGCCTCCTATCCTCACCCTCACAGAGCACCATTCACCACTTCATTGTTTACCCCATTAGATGTAGTCCTCAAGCTCAGTGCCTACAAGGCCTTCTCTGAGGTTTCCCCTATTCTCCATTTCACCAACTTTACTGTCACACAGGTTCTTCTTGAGGAGCTTGGTACCACCGACTGCATTCACGTCATAGACTTTGATATTGGAATTGGTGGGCAATGGTCCTCCTTCATACACGAGCTCGCACAGAGGAGGTCTTCTTCCTCTACCCCTCGGCTCAAAATCACTGCTTTTGTCTCTTTCTGTGCCTTCCACCCGCTAGAACTGCATCTTACCAGTGAAAACCTCTCCCATTTTGCCGCTGACCGCAATATTCCCTTCGAAATCAACATCTCAAGCATTGAGTCCTTTGATCCCGTTGAAATCCTTGCAGCCTCAGCTGGTCGCAATGAGACAATTGCTGTGAATCTCCCTGTAGGGGCTGGGCTTAACCCATCTTTTACAGCAACACTTCACCTTATTAAACAACTGACACCCAAAATTGTTGTATCAGTTGATCAAGGATCTGATAGGAGTGACTTACCATTTTCTCATCACTTCCTCCACTCATTCCAGTCCTCCATGATCCTCCTTGACTCCATTGATGCAGCTGGAAGCAACCTTGATGCAGCTAACAAGATAGAGAGGTTTATCCTTCAACCCAAGATTGAGAATTGTGTAATGGGGCGGTACCGTGCTACTGACAAGATACTACCATGGCGATCTCTCTTCACATCTGCTGGTTTTGTGCCAGTGCAGTTCAGCAACTTCACGGAGGTGCAGGCGGATTGTCTATTAAAGAGAGTTCAGGTGAGGGGATTCCATGTAGAGAAGCGACAAGCTTCACTTTACCTCTATTGGCAACGAGGTGAGCTGGTTTCCATTTCAGCTTGGAGGTGCTGAGGATCTTCTACCATCTTCTTTACTTGCAGGCATGTCATCTGGTATGATTTTGTCGTCATCTTCCAGGGTAATCTTTTGTAGTCATTTTAGATGTTAAGAATATGAAAATTCTGCAGCGAAAAATCTTTTTTGGTATCTTATGTTCCTTTTGTCTTACCAATTGTTCATCTTCTCAATTCTGATGTTTTCAAAGACAGATTCTGCTTTGTAGAAAAATTGTCTAACAAGTTTGACATTTTGGATCAGCTTAAATTGGGCATCTCCTTCTTTTTTCTAAACATGGGGCTAAGATATGGGCTTTTGGAGCAAGAAGCAAGTTTTCTTTGGAAGCAATATTTCTTTGTTGTTGCTTATGAATAATGTTGAAGAATTTAACTTCAAAAATTTCAACTTTACCATGAATTCTGAGTTGTTTTGAATTTTGCATTTTGTTTAGTGTGCGTTAATTTTCATTTAGTTTTGTTTTATTAATTTAATTTTCTGATTTAATCATTTTCATCATGGCTGGATATTAATTGCAGAACTGTAGTTCTTAAGCGCTTGGGCTGCAGCCCCTTTTTTTTTTCAGGTTGACCAAATGCTGATTCTTGTTCCTGTTTATCATACGGAGTTTCACGCAGGATCTCAAATAAATGCCTAATTGAGTGTTGATCTGCATTCAAGTAATTTTATGCACTATTAGAAGCTTGCATTTCTCATAAAAATCTTCATTATTTGCCTCAGTCCAACCCTTTCAGTTCAGTTTAATGGATTCTCATTCTTTCAGTTCAGTTTAGTGAGTTATCATTCTTATTTTGCCTTCCATGAATGTTGAAAATGGTGTTGATTCTATATTACATGATTTTTTCTTTTGCATAATTATGCTGCATTTAGTCTACACCTTTTCTTTATAATCCTTTGACATTAATTTCAGCTTTTTTGTCTTGTGACATTTTCCACCATTTATTGTTTACACACAAATTATCCAAGTATACCTTTTTTTGTTTTATCTTAAGTATATGTTTTTTCTTACCATCCAAACATATTGGTTTCCACCATTCATTATATTCACACAAATTGCCCCTTTTCAATTATTGTATATTGACCTAACTTTCTTTTTTACATCCCAATACTCAAATATGTACATCATAACTACCCTAATTATCACTTTATAAAATTCATTTCTATGTCTCCATGAGATATCTTTCTTTTAAGATACTTCTCCATTTTGATCATATTTAAATTTCAAAGTTGATATCTTCATTTATAACCTCATTGTTTTTGATATACTAAATTCATGTTAATTTAATCTATTAAACCTTATAGAGCTTTATTTCTTACTAATTTTAGTTTACAGCTATTCATATAAAAGCCATGGAAATTGCATATTATATTATTAGTTCTTGCTTTACTATTCCTTTTAACTTCAAATATTCTTGTTGTAATTTTTCGAGATTCAGTTTGGCCAAATGCACAATCTATTTGTTAATTCTATTTTCAGCTATAAATTTTAAGCTTATAGGTGAGGGTCAATCATTTGCCACTTCTTTGCTTGTATACTTTTCAACTATCTATTGTGGGATTAAACTCCCTACTCTTAGGTGTCTTAACAACTCATTCTCTCTGTTGAGCTCTACATATAAGCTATCAATGCCCTTTAATTAGAAGCAACAAGTACCACACATTATAAATCCACTCTTTTATATGGATTCACATAAGAGTTAGCCTGTCTTAACCTTGTTTAATCATGCCAAAATTTGGCTGAGGCTCATGAGAGATAAAATTGCTTTTGCTACTTAATCCCAGTCAAGCCATTTACTCTTTTTGTTGTTGTTGAAACAAAGGGGAGATAGTTTCGCAACTCAAAATCTTAAGCCCATGGTTGAGGATTTATCACTTAATATTTTTGCACCAAGGTGATTTTTATGATTTTGAATTCTATTTGTTGTCTAGTATTGATGCCAATACCTTTTTTTTTTTTCCAATCATTTAAAATCATCTTTGTCAAAATTTTTTATAATTGTAACATTGCTTTGAGTGTTGAGTTTATATGCTTTTATTGGTTATGTAGATACTTATAAAATATAAGATGAAGTGCCTTCATGCATTTTTGTATGTAATGGAATTTTAAAAAGTAAGATAATTTTTGCATTTTTTTGGAATTTCAACATGTGGTAATAAAAGTTTTAAACATAACGAGCTAGAAATTATAGAATAAAGGTAAAAAATGTAATCAACAAATTTAATGCGTTTGATATTAATTATCATCATTTAACAATAGAAAATGAAATAATAATAATAATAAAAAGACTATGACCAAATTTCAAGTAGGATTCGATCGATGTTCGAGAAAGGCTTGAATTATGTTCAATTTAAAGGTAGACACACTAAGCTATTACATCATTACATAACATTTTTAAAATTTGAATAACAACCATTCTATTAAATCAGAGCAGTTGCAGATTGAGTCCAATCACTATGGTTGTAACATAATAGATAAGATTGTTGATATTATTAAATAAATACACAATATCTATAGCACAATATAGCTGAATTGCCCCCTTCGTTTATATCTCAGATGAGTGTTCCAGCACATAATACCTGTAATACCGGCAACTTTCCAAATTTGCTTCTATTTATATCACCATAAAGGGCTAAAATGCATTATTAATGGACTCTTGAAGATCATTCAAATTGAGACTGTACATCAAGCAATAGTCACCACTTTTTTTATTATAATTGCAATTTCAATTGACCAAGGTAAAAATTGAAGGAGTTATCAAAATTTATTAATAAAAGATAAAAATTTTACCTGATCAAAAGGCTGGACACATTCAAATATTGGTTAGCACAAAATTTGAGGTTGACATGGCATTACTTGTACTTATATGACATGATGATATCATTAGTCCAATTTCTCTATTATCTACCTTGAAATCTACATAGCAAGTGAATATAGCTGAGTCAATCAGAGACGGACACTGAGTGCAATATTATAAATTAGGGTCATGTTCATACTATATTTAAGTAATGTTCAAATAATATTTGAACTGATATTTAATCATATTTAACATTGCTTGAACTTGAATCAAATTTTGACCAATCTTACTAGTACTTATGTGATCATTGCTCGAATCAAGGTTGAATTTTCTTCGACCACCATTTGAGCAATGATTGAAAGTTTTCTGATTTCATTGAACATTTTTAGGTCATTGTTTGAACTATGATCGAATCTTCAAATAAGATTCAATTATGTTTTGAAGATTTGATTATTAGTCGGTATATTTCAATTGAAGTTAGGGCAAGTTTCATTCAATGCTTAAAGCTGGTAATTTATTATTTAATATCCATTCTAGTTTTAAAGTTCAGAAGTGGGCACAAAAAAGAAAAAATGAATTAACATATTTATTTATATAATTTTTATCACAATGGAGAACATATAAATTCAAATATCTCTTACAATGTTACAAAATATAATAAATTTTATACAATTATCATAAGGCTGAATATAATATAATATTTTATGTTGATGATAGCTAAGAGGGCTGTTGTGGATAAATTGAGTATGGTTATATTAGAGATGTGATTGAAGTGGGATTATTGAAGATAATATAGCTGAAAGTAGATTTGGGTGATTTGAACATGCACAATAAAAGCTACAAAATTGCACCCATTAGACTATTTTATAAAATTAGTCTCAATGGATTAATGATTTCATGGATAAAAGTTGCTAAAAAAGGATTTGCAAAAAATATGTTTTAACATCTCTTTCAACAATTAATATCAATGGATTAATGAAAAAGGGGTAATGAGAACTTTTGGTAACTAAAAGTACTAATGTCACAGATGACTTCTCTTATAAAACCTAAAATCTTAGCAGTAGCAATAGAGAAATCATCTTCAATTTTCCAAATAAATCTTATCATATATTAAACTTTTTTGTGCTATTCTCTTTATAGAAATTAGACCTTATTATCATCATTTTATTACATATAATTTTAATTAAATTATCTAATACCTTAATCATTAAGCCAACCCTCATGATTTATGCAAAACTTAGATAATCTAAAGATGTCACATCTAATCCAGACTTGTTCTGTTTGTATGCTTCTTCTATTAAAGTTTTAGTTTTTATCATCAAAGCAGACCCCATCTACCTTGTCTTGATCTGGTTATCTGTTGAAAATGACTTAAAAACTCAATCTTTTAGGGTCTGTATTGTAAATCTAATAAATCCGGATTTATTAAAACTTGTCAACAATAGTATTTAGTGAATCCAGGATTTAAGACAAAATTGAGAAGGAATTGCATTAACTAAATACTGATTTTAAAGTTGTATTTTTGTAGCATAAGTTTTATGTTAAATCCTACTGTCGAATCTCCCTCTATTTATAGGTAATGTGGTATAAAGTGCACAGTTATATCATTGTTACAAGGTATTTTAGGTATAAAATGAATGATTCTATGACTTGATTACTCTATCGCTTGGCCGGCTGAGATCGGTAGCCCTTGGGTCGGCAAGGTCCGCTTGGTCGACTTTGTTGAGTTGGGATTGTTGGTCGGCTTTAGCTATCTTTCAATTGTCCGGATATTTGCTCGGTCATCTTGGTCAGCTGGTCGGTTGTTCAAGCCAGTTCAGTCATCTATGCTAGCGACAAATCGTCCATGCTGCCGGTCAGTCGTCCAGGCTTGTTCGGTCATCCGGGTTGTCAGTAGGTCGCCCATGCTGAGTCATTCTCAGTTTGATATATTTTTTTTGTTAACAGCTACTTAAATGAGTTATTATACAGCCCTTTAGTTTTATTTTTTATTTTTTTAATATTTCCTTTGCTTATTTGAATATTTTGAAATTATACCCTATTTACCTTGTTTAGTTCTAAAGCCTACCTCAACCATCTCTTATAAGTGATGCTGTTACTATTCTGAAACTATGCTGATTTAATTCAAATCAAATGTCTGTATACTATGGACAGTGGTGGTTGAAGAAAAACCTTTGTTTATTTATTTATTTAATTCTTATTTCCTGCTTATTTTTATATGAAATCACTATCTATCACCATCACTTTGTCTGTAACTGCTAACTGGCACAAAGGATGGCCAATTTTTTTAAATAAGAATAGTACTGCCCATTCTGCCTTTAAAACTGCAATGATTTCTTGTCCACATGAAAGCTCTTTTTTAGTTATTTATTTATTTAATCATACGATAATAGTGTATTTCCAACCCACAGTTTTATTTCTAATTATTTTTTATAATTTTTAAGTTTATAGCTGTTATGTCTATCCTTAACATAAAGCTTCGGTGCACTGAACTTGGTTGAGTTATAACTACTCTGCAACCACTATCAGATGATCAAATGATT